GTCATTCATTCACCAAATAGATCAAGGCTCTCTTGACGTAGGAGCAGCGGCCTCTTATTCTATGAGGGCTCTKCAGTCTAAGGCTGTAGCACTTCTTATTTTTCTCTGTGGATGAGGAAGCACAAAGGAATGTGTAATTCTCTCCAGAAGACACGTGCACTTGTTCTTCTCACACACCTTTGGAAGCTACRGATCGTGAATGATGCTGCACTGTTAAAAATAATTGAATAATTATGACTCAGAGCTGAAAGTTGCACGTACCCAAATGAGGCAGTAAAATGAACTTGTCTAAACGGCACAGTCATTTATACAGACACTTAAGTATTTTTAAATTATCATATGTGGGCTTGATTCCTTATCTTTAATAAAGGAAAAGAAATGTTTCAGAATGCTTAGCATTGGTTTTATTTTTCTGACTGTTGGACTCCCAAGTTTCTTTTGATTATTGATTGACTGCTTTGGATATCTGTAAGTTTAAGTGACAGAAAAGCAAAATACTACTTAAAATGTCCCAAAAGCTGCTTTTCCAAAAATCAAGGACAGCTGAGGCAGGGTTTACCTAAGGATTTTTTTCAAACTCTAGAGTTTTTAGAGTGAGGGTGTGTACTGACATAGGGTAATTCTAGCTTTAATTAAACTTTGATTTTCTTAGTTGTTGTTATTTTTTCCATGGCCAAAATCCTCTCTCTCTCTCAAACTGTTCCCACCAAAGCAATGATTATGTTATGTGCCGAATCTGTGAATCGGTCCTTCCTTTGGCAACTGCTMTTGATTCAGAATTTGTAGACACTTTTGTTTGAGGGACAAATTCATCTTGCAAAAATCAATTTATTTGTAGCTAGGGGAAATATATTTGCCCCTAATTTATTGTAAATGCCAAACACACTTGAACATATTTAATTTATGTATAATTAATATTTATCTTTTTCTTCCTTTTCTAAGATATAGCCATGATTATGCCTAATTAATTCTAGGCACAGCTGTTGTTACGGACAAAATGCAAAACTAACTGGAAAAGTTACATGCAATTGTTCAAAATATGCTTAATTTCTCCCCATTTCCAAAATGAACGTTGATGGCCKTAGGCCCAATTGAGTAGAGCCAGGCAGGTGAAAGCAATGGAATGTATACTTCTGGAGGCACTTAGATTTGCCTTTTAGTTCAGCATTAATATTCCTAGTGCTGTCTGGCCTTTGACTTCCAGGTGCAGTTTTAAGCCACGTGTATGATGTGCAAATCCTCTGGCTTACTAGGTCCCCCTARGAGAGTTGCCTTCTTCCTGGTTATGCTTGTGCAAAACCTGTAATTGGCAGGAATGTTTCATCTGGAAAGTCCACCGAAAGAGTAGGTGCTGAAGTGAAGTGCATACTTCTCTACAGCAATTACTATTTATAAAATATTTTAAATTATGCATGAAATATGTCTGTTTTATGTGTTTGTTGTTGTTGTTTGTTTTCGCTTGAATTTAGCAAGACAGTGTAGAGCTCTCAATTGGAATTTTGGAATTTCTCAGTTTGATTTGGAAATTAAATTTCGGGATCTAGAGAAAGCGGTCAATAGTAACCTCACACTTTTAGATGAAATAGTTATTAATAAATTTAATTAATGGGAAATGAGACTATAAGGGATCTCAGAGGGCCCTGAAAATCTCAAATAAGAAAATACCTTAATTAAAATGAGTAGGAACAAGTACAGTGTGATGTATATTGAAAGATGAAAATAGAAGTACTCAAACTGTCTGTAGAATTTCTATGTAATTATGTAATTTTTGTTTCTGACGAGCAAAACCAACTAGCCTGTCTCTGTAAAGAGCTTGCTGTAATATCCTGGGGAGCAAGAATGGTTTTTAAGCAAAAAGGCTAGGTTATGCTCAGCAAAAGGCAAGAAGGAACAAGAAAAGAAAGTAATTGCAATCTCAGCAAGGCTTCCTTACTAGGAGGGAGTTGAAAAATTGCAGTGATTCTGTTTTGAAAGAAGATGAATAATAGAAGTGTAAAAATAGTCCTGAAGTGGAGCAGGTTGCTTCGCACAGCTTGTACCTGTCTTCGTAAGAAGATTTAGGAGACAAGCTATTGGAATTGATAGGTGACAGATTTTAAAATAAAATAATAATAAAAAAAGGTAGTAAAGCATTACTTAACTATTCRGTGTAGGTCAATACTGTAAGTTTCCCCCCAACTCTTGAGGTCAGGTATTCATTTCACTTAGGCTGCCTTTCTAGAGCTCAGTGGTCAGCTGTGTCAAATTTTTGATCTATTTTCCTTTTGAGAATATTTAAGATATCTTTTCTCTCTTTTTTTTTTTTTTTTCTCCCATTGGTCTCGCCTAGGCGCTATGCTTGACTCATCTTTGTTTTCAAGGCTCCCTTCCACTTCTTTAACCCCTTAATAACTTTTCTCTGTGCTAATAGCATGGATTTCTATTGCTGCCTACTGAAGATCTTCAAACAGGCATCATTGCAGCTTTCATCTGTGCTACCATGTACATATTTATTTCTGTCTATCTGTACACATATATGTGACATGTATATGTACACATATACGAATTCTTTCAAACATACACACAAATGTTAATTGATTCAAGTTCTTCCTTAAATATTCTTTTATTTTATGGTCTGTGGCGAATCTTGACGGTGTTTAGGTAAACGGTGTACAGAATTAATTGATTATCATAAGTATTGATTTATTTATTGGCTTTATTTTATTTTTTCTTTATTTATTGGCTTACTCTACCCTTCCACTTTCTTTTGATCTGTGTACACTTGGTTTGTGAAATTACTTACTGCTGAGGATATCACAGAATCACAGAATGGTTGAGGTCGTAAGGGACCTCTACAGACCACCTAGTCCAACCTCCTGCTCCAGCAGGGACACCCAGAGCACGGGGCACAGGGTGGCATCCAGGCAGGTCTGGAAGATCTCCAGAGAAGGAGACTCCACAATCTCCCTGGGCAGCCTCTTCCAGGGCTCTGKCACCCTCACARTGAAGAAGTTCTTGCTCACATGAAGATGGAACTTCCTGTGTTTCACCTTGTACCCATTAAGCCATGTCCTGTCACTGACCACCAATGAGAAGAGTATGGCCCCATCGTCCCTCCTTTCTTCCCTCAGCTATTTGTACATGTTGATCAGCTCCTCTCTCAGCCTTCTCTAGGCTAAATAGTCCATCTTGCTTAGCTTGTCTTCATATGATAGGTGCTCTAGTCCTTTAATCATCTTTTGTCACTCTCTAGAAGCTCCACATCCCTCTTGTACTGGGGAGCCCWGRACTGCACCCAATACTCCAGGTGTGGCCTCACCAGAGCTGAGCAGAGAGGCAGGATCCTCCTCCACCTGCTGGCAACACTCCTCCTGATGCAGCCAGGATCCCGTTGGCCTTCTTGGCCATGAGGGCACTGCTGCCTCATGGTTAACTTGGTGTCAAGCAGGACTCCCAGATCCTTCTCTACAGAGCTGCTCTGCAGCAAGTCAACCCCTAATCTGTACTGGTGATATGTTTCTATTATGGTTCATCTTATTTTGTGATTACTCCTACTAAACACAAATAATTTAGTAGGACTTGGAAAAGAAATTACTACCAAGCATGTTCTGGTAATAGGAAATGTCAAACTTTCCTGTGTTGGCATCTAAATTTCTCACTAACTAATCTGAAATTCCTTGTATTTTCTAAACTTCTGCAGCTGACTGAGGAGCAAGAGAGGCTGTTGGTGCCTCAGTTCTAATCAGAATCTGCTTCTAGATGTCTGAGTCCACAGTTTTGGTTCAAACCATTTTGTTCTTTTCCCCCGAGCATTGCTGTGAGTTTCCTCGAGGATACGATAGTCTGCAGCCCCATCTGACTGTGGTTCATCCTACACACGTCTCGGCTCATTTTTGACTACAARTTGGTAGTAATCTACGAGCAGTATCACTGAACTTGGTGCCTGCTGCAAAATCTGTCAGTGAAGCAAAATAAACCGTCTCTTTCTGAGATATTTGTTCCTGTAGATAGTTTGGTACCAACTCATGGATAAGAGAGTACGTGCATGCTTGTCATTTGCTGTCTGATATAACTGCAGAACATAAATGTTTTATTTAATTCTACCTGTAAATTCAAATTAACCCTAAAATGTTCTTGTCTTTAGGCCTACAACAATTGAAAGTCATTCATGTATCACAAGAGAAACATTAGAGGAAAATTAATGTTGCAACTCTGAGATAAAGATCATCTAGAAAAAACCTGCAGTTTTAGGACTTCTRTTTCTATCCGCAAAACATTAAACTGAAAAAGTATAACCAGACTGGTTAGGAGGTATAAAATAGCTTTACTTAAAATAGTTYGGTAACATTTCATTAAAGAAGGGATAACTTTGAGGACAAATGGTGCCTAGGTTGCCTAGTGTGAAGTCTGAATTTCAAGGGAAAATTTTGTTTTATTCTCTGAAGGGCTTTTGACTTCGCATCGCACACAGACCTGCCTCCGATCTCTCTGCAAATGACTCATGGTGCAACTTGCATGTTTAAGTGCCCACCTCACATTTGCAATGTGATGATCTTTGCTGACGACAGAACTAGATGTTCTCTAATCTACTGTGCTGAATTATGCAGCTTGCGTTTTTGACAACGCGTCGCTATTAAAACCATCACGCTGAAGTTTTTATTCTTTCTCTCTCATTACTACTGTGCTGTAGGTTTGCAGGTAGAATAAATAACTGAATGTCACCCCAAACTCCGTGGCTTTAAATGCTGAGTTAATTTACACCCAGAGTGGCGCTTTCAGTGTCAGGCGATCTCTCTCTTTTTTTTTTTTTTTTTGCCAACATAAGCACTCAGCTGAAACAACAGCTATGACTCAGTTGCCAGCGAGCGCTGCTTGAATTGATTTAGTCCGAGTTCAGATTTAGYACATAATCATGTTCAATTTGATCCACTGTGCTGCCTAGAGATAAAAGGGGTGAAAAAAATAGCTTTAGCTTATGTCAGTCTCTGTGGTGATGTCATTGCCAGCGAGGGAACAGCGCCGGTGCTCCGCTCTGCCTGCTCACTTGGTGGATGTAGGAGGGAGAGACAAGGAGCAACTCAGCTAAGTGCCAAGTGGCAGAAGCCTACGGTTATCGGCAGCACTGAAGCAGCACCGGGGACTGTTCAATAGCAACACTGAAGAGTTTTTTATTATTATTATTTTTCCAGTCATTTGTTACTCTGAGATTGCCTAACTCTGTGTGCGAAAGCGGGGGATGCCAGCCCGTAGCATGGACTGTGATGTCTCCACTCTGGTTGCCTGTGGGGTTGACGTGGAGATTTTTACCAGCCAAGAGGTTAAGGTACGCGCCTCCGATGCTTTTGTTGCAGATGATTCTCAGGAAAGCCTTGGGGAGCACTAGGAATTTGTATGTAGCCATTTAGACTAAGGAGACAGATGAGAAGCTGCTGCAGTAGTAAAGCACATGCAGTTTAAAAATCTGTTAATTAAAGGAAATGGGGGAGAAATGTGCCTGCTTTTTACTGTTTTAATTAGCTGAGAAAATAGCCTGCTGTTTGCTCTTTAATGATAGAAGAAATTTGTTATATAACTGACATCTGTGTGTATGCGTGTTTCATATTCATAACAAAAATCATTCATTGTTAATTCTCTGAGGATATTTTTAGTCCAGTGTCACTTGCCTTAGAKAGTCCTGCAGTAAATGTATTTATGGGTATTGAGATTTTGCTTACTCCGTTGGACAGCAGCTATATTTTATGTTCAGATCCAAATCAAGGATAGATACAGGGTTTTTTTTTTTTTTTTTTTGTGAAGGGTTAAAAGTTTGTAGCAAGTATTGCTGTATTGCAGATGCACCAAAATACAAAAAGTTGTGCATCTTGCATATCACATGCTTACCTCAAAAGCAATGCTAAATTCAAAGGCTTATTATGCTGAGCTCGTAGTCTCTTAATTAGACAACTGCTATAGAAAAATCATTGTGTATAATTACTTACTGGTGAAATCACTTATCTTTTTCATTTATTTTCATATTACTGCATGAAAATCACTGTAAATTAAATTTGAAAGTGGAATTTTAAGTATGCTYTTCACAGATCATCTCAAAGAGCTCATAGGCATAATGCAGTGATATTCAGCAGTTTATTTAGAGGACACAGACAACATTAGTCTCCAGTCTGACTGCTCTGCTCTTAGTATAGGAAGAAGGGGAAAAAGAGGTAAGGGCAAATTCTGAACGTCTACTGTCTTTAATCAGGATTCACACCTTGAAACTGGTAGAAGTAATCTGCAGAAAAAAAAATCATTTGTTGTAGATTATGATTTTTTCCCCGTTAGTTTGTGACCATTTGTATAYTTTGAATAGATAGTTTTGTATTGACAGCAAGTGGAGACTTGATTCAAAAATCGTTTTTCTTATTAACAATCTAATGCTGAATTCAGAGGTGAAACTRGTAGAAAATATTGCATATAAATGGTTCAGACATACAGTTTTGCTGACGCTGGGACATGTTTCCTGTAGTGTTGTAAAAGATTAAGCAAGCACTTTTTTTGAACTTAAGAACAGATTTCATTTTAACATAGGATTTAACCACCATTGACAAGGGCTCGTACTGGGAGCAGCTGTGTTTTAGTGCCTGCTACATGGTCTCCATGAGACGTTGCAAGAAATTCAAGTTGCAAAGGTCTCTTTGTAACCCTAATTGATACTGCAGTAGTAATAAACAAGCCAGATTTGGCTTCTCTAAGATCAGACAACCTCTCTTGACTTTGGTAAGACCTCAGAGAGCTGCTGCGTGCAGATGGCAGGGCTGAGGAGCGCGGGGTGAAGGCCAACAGAAGGGTGAAGCGACACTGCAGGGAATGTGACCTCCTTTTATTGGCCATCCTGTGCTTTGCTTGCTTAGGTTGCAACTATTTCTTTTTCTCCTGGCTGGATTAGTCGTGAGCGGCAGGACGTTGGGTGTGTTTGCAGCARAGCCTGCCCTGCAGACTGCAGTGCAGCTGGGAAACGCGAAGCCACCGCTGAAGACGCCAGGTTGGGCGTGAGCAGCGGTCGGTCCTGGGTGCGTGCGGCTGGATTTCCCCTTCGGTCTCAGCAAACAGGGTCATCCGAGGCCGCCTCGAGTGCTGTGGTGGCGCGAGGGCCTCGAGCGCGCGGCGCTGCTCCTGGCCCGCGCTCTGGTGACCTCCTGTCAGTGTTCGAAGGTGGGGGGAGTGACGACTCTTGGGTCATTCTGAGGAGAATTGCAGCAAAAAGAGGTGCTGGAGAGGGAGGGTCATGGTCTTTAGGAGTTCATCCACATCCCACTGGCTTTCAGTGGGTGAAACGCTGAAGATGAATGTTGGTGGTTGACAGAGCGGGACTTGGCTAGGCTGGCAGGGACACCAGGCGGGAAGGCTCAAGAGGAAGGGGGATATTTCTGAAGAGGAGATGGGTGGGGAAGCTGTAAAAGCCAAAGTGGAAATCACAGAATGGCTGAGGCTGAAAGGGGACTCATCTATTCCAACCCCCAATCCCTGCCCTCCTTGTCCCTGTCCTTTCCCCTCTGCTCCASGCACCTGACAGGCATAAGTATTAAGGCAAACCCTTACATGGTGCTGTGGTCAAGGCCATGCCCTTTTTTTTTCCTGCTGTAGCGCTTTTCCCGCAGGGAGAGCTTTTTGTCTGGATTCATTGCTCTTTGTGTCGAGGAACATTCCCTCAGCAGAGCAGATTAATGACTTTGTGCAGCGCGTGGCCATCAGCCGCATTTGCTGGAATGAGCTCTCCTTTCTGCAGAGCTGCTGTCCCATGGTGAGGAGCGGGGGACAAGGGGCAAGCTCCCCATGAGCCAGGCCAGCTGAGAAGCATAGGATCATTGTGATTGGAAAAGACCTTTGAGATGATCGAGTCCAACTGTAAGCCTGAGGAAGAGCTGAAAACCAAGCCAGGCTGTAGAGCAGGAGCTTCTGCTTGAGGTGGGGATGAGCAGCACAGAGGCTGTGGAATCACTTTCTGTGAACCATCCCTTACAGCTTTTATTGTCTATTGCTTTTGCTAGGCTTTTATCATCTAAAAATTGGGTCAGGCTAATTGAGATGCCTCTAAAAGTGCAGTGCCTGTATATCAGGGGTGAAGTATATCGCAACCTGTGAAGATAATCACAGAAATCATCGAGTGTGGGTCCACTTTGAAGTTCACCTGTGTAATAGAAGTTCTTTTCTCAGTGTCTTTCTGATAATTTTATGTAATTATGTTTGTTACATATGCAATTAGGTAATGAATATTTTGGTTATTCAGACATCCCTGAAGCCGTGGAAGAGCATTTCAACCCCTACGCTAAGCAAGATACCCTGACATTGTTAATTGCCCACGTTCTCCCTTACGTTCATGTGAGCCATTCTGCTAGACAGCAAGGTTTGGCTGGGGCCAGGAGGCACTGCTGCAACAGAAGAAATGCTAATGGAATCGAATTTTCATCCAAATACTATAATTTAAAGTGGACAGTATCATTGCCTTAACACACAAAGAAGCAATGTGGAGAAGAGCCAGGCAGCCAAGGGAAATAATAAAAATTGTTTCACTGTTTTGACCATAGTGGCCTGGGGGATTAGTCCGTGCTGGTCCAGGATCTCTTTCATCCTGCAAACTAGGTATTTATTTCATGTGCTYATTGCTAGTGGCAGCTGTTTGAGGTGTGTGGTTTAGGGGTCAGCCCTCACCTTGCAGTTGTCCTTGAGAGGTCTCACAGACTAACACCACTTCTTGCCTTCAGAGGTCTAGAGAGCAAAGGGGTTTAATATTAGTTTTCCATGGTTTTGCTTCCTGTTTCAATTTGCCATTTGCAAAATGGAGTTGTTGACAAAGATGTTCTGAGGTTGAAGGTTTAAGTGCTCTGAGAGATAAGGAGAAAAAAAAGGAAGAAAAATGAAAGTGTTGCTGCCCCTCTGGATGCTGCCAGCTGCAAAAAAATGTTATTGTTGTTGTTGTTATTAGAGTTCTAGGTCTCCTTATTCCAAATTCTTCTCTTCAGTCCCATGATTTTTTGGTGAGGGAAAAGAAGGATTGTGGCATGATCCAAAGACTCCAAAGACTGCAGCCATAAGGAGGAAACCAAATTAACTGTATGACTACCCAAGACAAAAATCCTGATAGCCAAAAGCACTGCTTGGTCACCTTTTTCTCTGGTATTTGCATCACCTGGTGGATCTTTCCTGGATGGAAATAGTCTGTGAAATTGGAGACCTGGTAGTTCTGCTCGAGTGACGTATATACTTGTCTCTTGATTTCTATGCTTGCTGTTTTGCACCATTTAAACAGGAGGAAGAGAGAAACTTGCAGAGTAAAACAAAAAATTATTGGTATTAACACTTTAAAAATGTGATTTAAAAAATGTGCAGAAACAAGTAAAAATAGAAGACTTTCTGCATCCTTTTCTCTTTTTCTTTTTTGCATTTGCAGCCTTCCAAGAGCTGTAATACTGATATATTGGCATAAAATATGAGAGCTAAAAAGATAAAAATTGTCACCTTTGTTTTAGAAGTTTTGTAACCTGGCTCTGCTTTTTAATGTAAAACATCAAATTTTATGTTGTAAATGTGAAAAAAAAAAAAGCCATTTAAATGATTTCTGGGGCATGGGTTTTCCTTCCCATGATTCTGGGCATGGGTTTTCCTTTGCATTATTTGTGTTTGCTGCTTGTTTGACTCGAGGAAGCTCAGGCTGCTGAGGAACGAACACTGCCCTGCGAGGGGAGGTCGGAGGCAGCTGCAGGTGCTTCTGCATCTGCTTGGCTTTCTGCTTGCYACTGCTCACCCTTTTGCCATCGACGGAGCAGCAAATGTCAGGGCGGGTTGGATTCATGTTCATCCTCTTTTCTGCTAGAGGTCACACACAGATGTTTTCTTTTCCTAGGGATAATTAGGCAATGAGCAATCTGTGGGCAAAGGAGAGAAGATAAATAATGGCTAGACTGTGTTGCTTGGAGGGGCAATATTAGTCCAARGCAGGTAATAAGGTAAGACAGACCTTGCAATTATGCTGATAAATGGTACAGCCTGAGTGAAGAGCAATGAAAAGATGATGATTTTCCTTAGCACATTCTAGGGATTAATCAGGGAAGCTGTGGCTGTGAGCTACTTTTAATAAGCAAGTTTGATACTGATTTTTCATTAAATAACTGCTTTTGTGGATAACCTAGAGGGGTAAAGTACCTAAATCCTTTCTGTTTCTCTCAAAAACAACAAGTTTTTCAAGGGGAAGCTGTTTTGAGGCCCACAGAGATCTAGTCTTAATTCTTCTCTAAAGCTGCTGTAACTTGCCTTTCTACTGTTGAATCTCAAGCTTTACTGATAGTTTGC